GTGGATAGTCGGAGGTAGGACAAGGTCGTACCTCTTTTCCTGGCAACGGTTTGGTGGAAATCGCCCACTTTGTCACTGGATGGAGTTTTTGTTCTTTTGATCCCGTGAGGTGGGGATCGGTTAGTCAGGTCGAGTGGCGGAGGATGAGAGGGTTCGTCGGTAAGGCGTCGGCGATATCCGAATAAAAGACACCATTAAAAGATCAGTTCGTAATTACGTAATTACGTAATCAGGTTGTAATTTGTAAAGAAAAGTTACTTTTCATAGATGAGATTTCTTCTCAAGAAATATCGGTGAGTAAAGCAGCTACAGCTAAATCGAAAGTAGAGGGTAAGGCCATACAGTAGACTATCCTATAACACTGTAGATATTTCCGTGTTATATGAATTCCATGTTGTACGAGTCACTTAGATTTTACAAATACGTGAGCCGTTCACAGCTCGGCACACGTATTTGTAAAATCTAAGTGACTCGTACAACATGGAATTCATATAACGCGGAATTATCTACAGTGTTATAGGGGGGTCTACTTGTATCTAATTTGTCCATTCAAATTTAAATGAACTAATCAGTAAATCAGTAATAGTAATAATAATCTTCTCCTTATTGGTTAATTTAAATTTAATTGAAAAATTCAATCAATAAAAGAGCTTACAGTTTTATTTAAATTTGAAAACCGATTTACTTATTGATAATTTCGTTCTGTGTTATAATAATTATTTTTATATTTAAAACAATTATTTATAATTCTAAAATATTAATTTTTTTTAATATAAAGAATAGTAATGATGAATTTTAAACGCCATTAGTTTAATTTGGGATGATATTTTGTCTTAAATTCATCACTTTCATGACAATGAAAAAGTAGGTCAACTCCTCAGGTGATATTCCTAAGAATGATCAAGGACATCAGAAGCATTTGATGAGTTTACTACTTATTTATACATTCTAAAAATAATCATTTCTGATTTTAAAAGCCTAGATAATCGTTTAAAATAGATTGAAATAATTTTAAACGTTTATATTAAAATATACAAAAGAAAAATAAATTTTAATAAGAATTCTTCCGAAAAAAATTCAAAATTTACTTGAAATATCATTCAATTTATAATAAATTCGCTTATTGGTAAATTTAAATTTAAATTGACTAATCCTATCGAAGCATTTCAAAAATAACGGTCGACAAAATTTAAACGAACCACTAAAGTTTCGACTAGACTTTAAATGTTTAAAATAACTTTTATTTTCTGTTAGGTGATAGTATTCGATTTATTTAAGCATCTAAAAACGTTTTCAAATCACTGTTGTAGAGTTATTTTATGATCTTGTATTATTAAAATCTACTTCGGATGACCTGTTAGTGTGAAGATTAGACGTGCCACGATTTCGTGACAAGATGCAACAGGGGTAAAGAGGGATCAAATGAACGGAATTATGGGATTGTTCTATTAAATATACTATAAGATACTTCCTGTATAGTTGATATAGGTCATGGAATGCCAGTTTTGATATTTAGGAAAAAAGAAACGCGTACATAATAATAAATTAGCTAAGACCAGTCCAAAATATGCTATGTAGGCATGAGTTTTTAGGATTTTTCCTCTTGTACATATATATTTACGCTTAATGTAATTAATTATTTAAAAAAAACTGTTTAAGTTTTTATAAATTAATTCTACTATAATTATAAACTCAGAAAATGAATAAAAATTAAATTTTTAATCACGATTTATTACATAAAATAAACGAAAAAAAAAATACAGTCATCGACATACACGACATCGTCATCCTATATATATATATATCACTTGTCAATACAAATTTTCGTATGTAAAAATATTTTATGACTATAAAATTTAATATAAAACAGTCTCTATTGTTGATTAAAATTTAAATCGCTGATATTAGCCATTAATAAAAGGATAAATAAGAGACCAACCACTTATTGGCCAGTTTGAATTTTCCACAACCAATCGCCGGACCGAACGAATTAATGACGTTGAATAAACGTAATACAAGTATCAGATTGTCGTATTGGTCAGTTTGAATTTCTATAACCAATCGGAAACGTTAAATTTTAAAATAACGGTCAGTTATTGAACATAAATGAAAAATTTTGAATTTATTTATTTATTTGTTTATTATTCGTATTTTATATGTGTATTATTATTATGTTTTTTTTTAATGTAAAATATAATAATTACGTTTTATGTTAGAACGGTATAACGGTTATAAATATTTTATAATCGTTATACTGTAGGTTAATGTGCTGTAAACTATAGGTAAGCCTAGTATAATGCATCTGTTTATAACCATAGATGTGATTTTATAGAAAGCAGAAGTGCATAATTTTTGGCATTTTAATTATTGTGTTACTTTTTCCGTTCGGCAGAAATTACAGAAAATTTGGATATGAAAATTTCTCCTGAAATTTTCAAGTTCTTGGCCTACTTAATATGTTCGGACGTGGACGATTTCCCAGTAAGTTAGGCCTAGGTCTTGAACGGAACAAACCAGAAAATCGGTTCTCTGGTGTAGCTGTTGTTGTTGGTGGTGGTGGTTGTTCTGTTTCTTCTGGTGTTTCCTTTATTGTTATCTCTTCTTCAGCTTCTTTTGTAGTGGCTGTTGTTGCTGAGACTTCTGTAATTTTAGTTGCTGTAGTGGGTGCTGGTGTTTCCGTTTCGGCTATTGTTGTTGTTTCGGTTTCCCCCTTTTTGTTTCTGGGACGAAAAAATGATGGCCGACTCCTTTGTCTGTTACTTAAAATATTAACCGGAGGTTTTACTGTAGCACGAGCTCGTGGTTGAGTGGTTCGTGATGGTTTAGTGGGGTTAACGCGTGAAGAGCTTCTTCTTGTTGTAGCTCCGAAACGATTCTTTGTAGCTGTTGCTACTGATGATGATGTTGTTGTATCTGATAATGAATTATCCCCGAATTTTCTATTATTAGTAGAACCAGGCCGAGTTCGCGCTATCGGTGCTCCTGGGCGTGAGAAGCGGTTTCTAGTTGGAGGTCTGAAACCTGGCCTTCTATCAGCTGTGGCTTCGTTAGTTGACTGTGTCGTCGTGCTGGGTGTTGTTCTTCGACTAGAACTGGCTGCAGTGGTTCTGAATCGTTTCCTCTTTCCTATATTACCTAATCTTCCTCTTTCTGTTGTGGTTGTTGTCAGTTCAGTCGTAGTAGTAGTTTCCGTAGTTGTTGTATAATCCTGAGTGGTGACCTCCTCCGATTGTGTTTCCTCTTCTATTTCATTCTTACTACCTTGTTTTTCTTCCTGACTAGCTGGGATAGAGGTAGTCAAGACGTCTTCTGTTGCGGGTGGAGATTGTAATTCGGCCGATGACGATGTTGTAGTGGCATTTTGGGTGGTATTTATACCATCTGGGGTAACTTCCGGTTCTTCAAGAGGATCTACTAAGTTGGGTGTTACAGGAACTCTTGGAACGTCGTTGCTTCCATATCGAAACACGTTCCGAACCGGCTGTACTTCAGTGCCTTCCGATACAGATACTGATACAGATATAGCCGTGGCACCTTTTGGACTCGATGTAGTGGCCTTTTCTGCTACTGGTCTATGTAGGAGTGGTTGTCCTACTACCTCTACCGATTGCGCTGTACTGATAGAAGAAGAGACAGTAACTGGAGATAATTGTCTAGCGGTCTCATATTGTGATGCGTTAGTTTTGCTGTCATTTTTCTGATCATAAGATTCTAGATCGGGAATATTGTCAAAGTCCAGTGTCAAATTATTACTATTTGTGTCATTATCGTAATAGTAGTAATAGTAAACTACATATTCGTCATCGGGTTTCGAATCTTTTTCTTTAGCACCTGTTGCTTTATCGAATTGAATCTCCGAGGCGGGTGCTTTCTGAATGAGTTGCTGTGCTGGTTTTACAACCTTCCTCTCAACTCCCTTAGAAGCTGGTACACCTTGCTGGGAAGGTGAAGGAGCTCCAACTTGAGAGTAAACACCTTGCTGCCCGCCTACGTAAATCACCTGTTGATTCGGTGTTTGAGGTGGGTGTGGTTGAGGATGGGATTGAGGTAATGGAAACAAAGGTGGTTGATATTGAGTTACTTGCGGTGAAGATTCCATTTGGATTTGTGGTTTAGAAGATTGAGGTAACTCAGCGAAGATGGGTGGCCGATATTGCTGTAATGGTTCGGGTCTGTTCTGTTGAGAGTTGCTAGGGATGGCTCGAACGAAGACATTAAAATTACTCGAAACATCGGGAATCTGTAGGAGGTGGCGAGACGACACTACCGAATTCATTAAAGATGTCGTCAGTAGAACGATAACTGTTGGCGACCTAAATAAAGATAACAGGTCTATTAGTAAAGTTAAAATGGAGAAATTCCGATTTATACACTTAAAAAAAAAACAAGTTATCTAAGGTTAGCGTCTGGTATTCCCCATCAGGTTTCTATTATAAAATATGCCAGATGAAACCTAATGCATTAATAAGATAAACCACGAAACTCTCTTTAAGATGACTCTGCCCTTCATTACAAACATAAGGAACAAGTTTTGTATGCCCTCATTTGCAAGTCACGTATGTCTATACTTAAAAGTTCTGTATCTACTACAAACTATCTAACAATCTTTAAGTTTAGTTGTTGAAAAAATTTCCTTATGTAGAAACAGTTCACACTCACTTTTGTTTGTTTTGAAGACCTAAAATTCTACTTCGCATATATTAACGTACAATTAAGGATAAAATACAATAACAAAGATTTATTATTAAAATTCGTGAGGAACCATTAAAACTGAACAGAAGCATTGGTAATCAGGAAACCGAACGATTAATTAATTAAAGAGTTAAATATGTATTTGGGTTGCAGTATTAATGGTAATGATTATATCAAGTTTCAAAATTATTTCTATCTGTTAATTAAAAAATTAAATGTAACCAAGTGTCGTTCTGTTTCTACGCTATGTTTAAAACCATTTACCATGCTTTTACCCTATTCTTTAAACGATCAGAAAAATCACGACGAGGCGCGTGAGTCGTCACATCGCTTTGCACACCCTTTGTTCACTCGTGTTTCCTTTTAATGAAATGGTTTTGACTATAAAAAAAAACTATTAAATAAATTTTAATTATGAAAATTTCTTTTAAGAATATTTTTATTATGGTAGTACGTAATGTACCAGTGTATTATTATTGTGGGTAATGTAATTGTTTATATGGTATCATTAGTGTTTTTATTCCATTTTTTTGAAACATTTCGCCTATGGGCACTATTGGGACCTTTTTAATCATATCCATTGTGAGTTCAGCCAGCCCACAATGAGGGTGGCCGGGTGTTGAGTGTCGGGGCCGACATATCCGAGGTAGACAGCCCATAGAAAATTCCAGGGTTGTTCGACCCGGATTCGATCCTGAGTCCCCCAGTAAAGTAGTCTGACTCCTTAAACGTCTTGGTATTATTGTGGTAGTGTTGTATGTGTAGTATGATAGAATTACAGTAGTGTGGTAATATTATAATTATGGTAGCAAAAATGGTAATCTTAGCTAAATGATAAGCATTCCGATATTCATATAAAAAAAAGGTTTGATACATAAAAATCCTTATAAATTATATAGTTTTCAAAGCTTGATTCTTCCTAGATCAATGATTAATTTCTATACTTACTCATAGAAACTAGGGCTATTATCTTGAAACAGTGTGATAATTGCAATTACAAAAACAATAACAAGTAATTCACATTGAAGATTCAATCTTATCGAAGAGAAATCTATGACTTTGTATGTTAATATCCGCTGAAGAAAGCAAAAATGCACGCAAGAAACAAGAGTTCTACTTTTCTATTCAATAATAATATAATAGTATAAAAAGAATTTCGAAACCAGAAGGAAGTAAAGTTGAAAAGTTAAAAATTAGATATTGTTTAGATTTATCAAAGCAGAAAAAATAAGAAATAATCAGAAGCAGATACCATCAAGGAAGATATTCTGAAAATCCAATGTTCTTTGTGAGAAGTAAAAGGTGACAATTGCACTCTTTACGTGTTCTTAAATTGTTACATTATCAAAATTTTGGCCTTTTTATTCACCTGTAACGTAACAGAGCTATATTTAATAAGTGGAATGTTACTATAACAGTACATTTACCTATAGGCCTACTGCTTGGGTATGTTACTACTGTATATTAATAATATAATTACTCTAGGCTACAGCTGTATTGTTTTCTTTTATTAGCCATTATAAAGTAATAAAATCTTATAAACACTTATATAAATAATTAATTTACATTATTGTGATGCTACTATAGACGTGTGGTACTATAATAGCATCATACTTTCACTTTAAAATGGGAAAGAAGCTAAATAATAATTAACATTTCCATATAATATTAAGAAAACATTTCAAATTTACGAAGACTCTCTTAAATTTTGGGTACTTCTCAAATAGAACAAGCTTATAATTCAGATTTAGTTAAATTTAACCCCATGCAACGTGCTTTTTTCTTTTTTTCCTAGCAGAAAAAAAAATAGAGTTCAATGCTCCAAAGACATTGTTAAAACAGTGGGCGAAGGAGGAGAATATTTTTGGAAAGTTGTCAACCATATTAAGGGGTGAAGGAGTGGTACGCAATGCCGATGCTAGAGGGTAGAGATATCTTTTTATAACCAACCAACGAGACCCGAAAAAATATAAAAAAAATTGAGGTAAATTAGGTCGCATACCTTGCTTGAGGCAAAACTCTAGTTTTCCTTGTATATGTAACTAGTTGACACGTATAATTATTTGTCAACATTGCATTCTGTGTTTATTTGAAGTATCAACTTCCAATAATTGCATTTAACGCTACACGACTGACTTAATTCACTCTCAAGTTCAATACAATGATTGATTAAAATAAAAAAAAAACACTGATATTCGTCCTTCCTCTTTCTTATACATTTTATATTAAGCGAAATATAATATATCTTAGTGTAATTTGTATTAGATTATAGCTTGCATCCATGCCCTTATCACACTACTTACTTATCAATGTCAAGTATCTAGTTCGACCTTGAGGACCTAAAAGGAAGAATCACGATCTTTAATACGGAACTAAGCTAGTTTGCCATGCTAATTACGAATATACTAGGAAATCCGAGATGAAAAATAATGTTTGGAAGACCTTTCAGGCCTTTTCTTTACACTTGGTATGTATTCAATGGAGCACATGTAATCGATACTTTCAATCAGTAAACTCAGATACGTCTGCACTGCAAATGATACTGTAATTTACGTGTAAATTACTATAAAATGGCATTCAATTTTTAAAATTATTGTTTTAAACTCATACGACGCAACCGTGTTTAAAATTTATCGCTTCCCTGCTCGTCACGTGTTATATTTGATAGCAGTTGCATAAGGCATTTTCCTATTTAAGAATGAAAGTTATTTTTTTATGGAGGAAACACAGATACATACCATATCCTAAAACATAGTTTTGTTTCCAAAATAAACACTAGAAAGTCCCCAAAAGACCTACTTGTAGATCTCACGTGAACACTGTTTTCACAGGAAGTTACATCACTATTTTCCCTAAAGAAATTAGGCCGAACTAAACAAAGAGTTTTATAATCTTGTATACTAAATGTAAANGTTATATGAATTCCATGTTGTACGAGTCACTTAGATTTTACAAATACGTGAGCCGTTCACAGCTCGGCACACGTATTTGTAAAATCTAAGTGACTCGTACAACATGGAATTCATATAACGCGGAATTATCTACAGTGTTATAGGGGGGTCTACTTGTATCTAATTTGTATGTAATTTGTCCATTCAAATTTAAATGAACTAATCAGTAAATCAGTAATAGTAATAATAATCTTCTCCTTATTGGTTAATTTAAATTTAATTGAAAAATTCAATCAATAAAAGAGCTTACAGTTTTATTTAAATTTGAAAACCGATTTACTTATTGATAATTTCGTTCTGTGTTATAATAATTATTTTTATATTTAAAACAATTATTTATAATTCTAAAATATTAATTTTTTTTAATATAAAGAATAGTAATGATGAATTTTAAACGCCATTAGTTTAATTTGGGATGATATTTTGTCTTAAATTCATCACTTTCATGACAATGAAAAAGTAGGTCAACTCCTCAGGTGATATTCCTAAGAATGATCAAGGACATCAGAAGCATTTGATGAGTTTACTACTTATTTATACATTCTAAAAATAATCATTTCTGATTTTAAAAGCCTAGATAATCGTTTAAAATAGATTGAAATAATTTTAAACGTTTATATTAAAATATACAAAAGAAAAATAAATTTTAATAAGAATTCTTCCGAAAAAAATTCAAAATTTACTTGAAATATCATTCAATTTATAATAAATTCGCTTATTGGTAAATTTAAATTTAAATTGACTAATCCTATCGAAGCATTTCAAAAATAACGGTCGACAAAATTTAAACGAACCACTAAAGTTTCGACTAGACTTTAAATGTTTAAAATAACTTTTATTTTCTGTTAGGTGATAGTATTCGATTTATTTAAGCATCTAAAAACGTTTTCAAATCACTGTTGTAGAGTTATTTTATGATCTTGTATTATTAAAATCTACTTCGGATGACCTGTTAGTGTGAAGATTAGACGTGCCACGATTTCGTGACAAGATGCAACAGGGGTAAAGAGGGATCAAATGAACGGAATTATGGGATTGTTCTATTAAATATACTATAAGATACTTCCTGTATAGTTGATATAGGTCATGGAATGCCAGTTTTGATATTTAGGAAAAAAGAAACGCGTACATAATAATAAATTAGCTAAGACCAGTCCAAAATATGCTATGTAGGCATGAGTTTTTAGGATTTTTCCTCTTGTACATATATATTTACGCTTAATGTAATTAATTATTTAAAAAAAAAATTTAAGATGAATTAATTTATTAATTTCTAAAATATTTTCTGTAATTAAATTTAAGTTAATTGCGTTGTTTTAAAGGTTAAAGTGATCCGAATCGAATTTTATTCGAATTTTTAATTAATATGTTAAAGTCGAACAAAAATAAATAATTTATAAACGTTAAATTTGAATAAATTAATCATTATAACCATTAAAAAAAATTAACATTCTTATATTTAAAAAGTTGAATTTAAACTGCCCAATCAACGCTGTATTACTCACTTTTTGAAAAATTATAAACCAATCAGCGTTAAGTTTATTTAACGGTAATGAATTTAATACTTTTCGTCTGTTTAAAATTTAAAAAAAACGATAATACTAAATTTATTTTTTAATTTTTTTGTGTGTGTTAATATTAATAAAAGTTGAAACCATTACAAAATGTTAAAACAAACCATTACAAATTCGAATTTATTTTTAACCAATCGTAGATTAAAGCCAAATAATTCAAATTTGAAACGACAAATCAGCGAATTATATTTGAAATTATTTATTTTTACACCAGAATGCTTCGATTATATTCTATTTACAGTTAGAAAAAGTAAAAAAAAAAATCTTAAATTAATCACGTGGTTGCGTGCCAGAATAGTCTTAATATAACAAATATTATTATACATAAGTTTAACACCTTCTCGTATCGCTTGTTTAAGAATATTCGAAGAAATTATTAGCGATACGCATGAGGAAGATTCGTCGAAAGAGGACAAATTAAAAAATAAAACTTTGAAATTCATAAGTGAAAATGATAAATCAGGCCAATATTAAAGAATAAGGTTATTATAAACGAGACGTTTCTGTGTCAATCAGTGTTAATCAAAGAATATTTCCACAACACGAATTATCGAGGGCAATCCCCTGAAAGAAACTACTTAAAACTGATTCGAAAACCTTTCTTATGCAACCTATATTGAATAAAACAAATATTTTCCGATTCAAAAATTTTTAAATTAATATTAGCCAATTAGCGTACGATAATTTAAAATTTTAAATATTTTCAGCCAATAAGGTAAATCTATTTATTTTTTTAATTCTCAATTCAACACTCATTAATCTAATTTTTTTTAAATAAAAATAACTCGATGAACTTCCTATTTGAAAAATAAAATTCTAATTGAATTAAAAAAAATAAAACGTTATAATTTTTGTCAATAAAATTTATTTTAAATCAATCATAATCGAAGTCTTAAAAGTCTTTATATAAATTAATTAATGAATCTTTGTTATTAAAATTATATTAATTATTATTATTAATTAATTATTTTGAAATATATTTAAAAATTAATTATGTAAAATTAATAATAATATCTTGAATGTAAAATTCGAAACTGATGCTAATTAATTGAAACTAGTTCTAATGCGATTAACATAATTCAAATTAACCAATGAATAGTGATTTAATAAAGAAAAATAATAAAAATTTCAGAATAAAAACAACTTTATTGTTTGTTTATTTATTTACTTATATAACAAAATATGTATTTATATATTATATTTCATAATAAACTTGATGAAATATATAAGTAAAACGCGCTCTTATTGGTCGGAATATTTAAATTTAAAAATTTTTCATACAGACGAATATTACTGGTTTAAAATATTAAAATTATATTGTTAAATTATTTATTGTTCGAAATAATATTTAAAATAATTTTAAATTAATAAAATATTAATAGTTTTTATTTATAAGCGTTTTTTTATTTCTAATTATAAAATTTAAACGAATAATAAGACTGTTATGAATATATTTTTTTATATAAAAAATATATTAAATTAGTGACTTGAATTGATAAAAAAAAATACTTTAAAATTTTTATTATTAATTTTTGCACTATAAAATTAATTAATAACTTTTAAAATTTATAAATTAGAAGGGCGAAAAAATATCACACATTACGACGCTATTTACAGCGCAAATATTAAGTTTTAAACGAAAATTAATTATATAAAAATTTATGTAACATACCTGGACCACATATTTGTGGAGGTTCGCAAAAATTTCGTAACAAAATATCACCCGATTGGAGATGTTCTTTGAAAGAGCGGGCTGCTTACACAGAAGATATTTTGACAAAATGTCCACACAGAGCGTCAAGTACCGTTATATAGACGAGTTTGGCTGACCCCCTTTTACGGTCTACCTGTCAAACTGGGTCTACAAGATGGTCATACCTTTACTACAACTCATATAAACACCTCCACTCTATCTTTTTTTTTTTGTTTTTTGTTTGTTTTTTTTTTTATTATTGCACCTGGTCTAGTCTCATATTAGAAAGTGAACTGGGACGTTTTAAAGTAATTACGTTTAATTAAATAATAAGTAACTTATGATACGTTTTAATTTGAATTTTTAAAAATTCAAAATTGACCAATCAGCATTTGAAATTATTATTGCTATTATTATTATTATTATTATTCTAATTTGAAAGCTTTCGTATCTTAAAGCAAAATTTCAAAGAAATTTTTTGCTAATTATTCTTATTTTTATCACTTTCTAGATACAGTCGACCCCCTTATAACACTGTTGATAATTGCGTTTTATATGAACTCCATGTTGTACGAGTCACTTAGATTTTACAAATACGTGTGCCGGGCTGTGAACAGCTCACGTATTTGTAAAATCTAAGTGACTCGTACAACATGGAGTTCATATAAAACGCAATTATCAACAGTGTTATAAGGGGGTCGACTGTATCTAGAAAGTGATAAAAATAAGAATAATTAGCAAAAAATTTCTTTGAAATTTTGCTTTAAGATACGAAAGCTTTCAAATTAGAATAATAATAATAATAATAATAGCAATAATAATTTCAAATGCTGATTGGTCAATTTTGAATTTTTAAAAATTCAAATTAAAACGTATCATAAGTTACTTATTATTTAATTAAACGTAATTACTTTAAAACGTCCCAGTTCACTTTCTAATATGAGACTAGACCAGGTGCAATAATAAAAAAAAACAAACAAAAAACAAAAAAAAAAGATAGAGTGGAGGTGTTTATATGAGTTGTAGTAAAGGTATGACCATCTTGTAGACCCAGTTTGACAGGTAGACCGTAAAAGGGGGTCAGCCAAACTCGTCTATATAACGGTACTTGACGCTCTGTGTGGACATTTTGTCAAAATATCTTCTGTGTAAGCAGCCCGCTCTTTCAAAGAACATCTCCAATCGGGTGATATTTTGTTACGAAATTTTTGCGAACCTCCACAAATATGTGGTCCAGGTATGTTACATAAATTTTTATATAATTAATTTTCGTTTAAAACTTAATATTTGCGCTGTAAATAGCGTCGTAATGTGTGATATTTTTTCGCCCTTCTAATTTATAAATTTTAAAAGTTATTAATTAATTTTATAGTGCAAAAATTAATAATAAAAATTTTAAAGTATTTTTTTTTATCAATTCAAGTCACTAATTTAATATATTTTTTATATAAAAAAATATATTCATAACAGTCTTATTATTCGTTTAAATTTTATAATTAGAAATAAAAAAACGCTTATAAATAAAAACTATTAATATTTTATTAATTTAAAATTATTTTAAATATTATTTCGAACAATAAATAATTTAACAATATAATTTTAATATTTTAAACCAGTAATATTCGTCTGTATGAAAAATTTTTAAATTTAAATATTCCGACCAATAAGAGAGCGTTTTACTTATATATTTCATCAAGTTTATTATGAAATATAATATATAAATACATATTTTGTTATATAAGTAAATAAATAAACAAACAATAAAGTTGTTTTTATTCTGAAATTTTTATTATTTTTCTTTATTAAATCACTATTCATTGGTTAATTTGAATTATGTTAATCGCATTAGAACTAGTTTCAATTAATTAGCATCAGTTTCGAATTTTACATTCAAGATATTATTATTAATTTTACATAATTAATTTTTAAATATATTTCAAAATAATTAATTAATAATAATAATTAATATAATTTTAATAACAAAGATTCATTAATTAATTTATATAAAGACTTTTAAGACTTCGATTATGATTGATTTAAAATAAATTTTATTGACAAAAATTATAACGTTTTATTTTTTTTAATTCAATTAGAATTTTATTTTTCAAATAGGAAGTTCATCGAGTTATTTTTATTAAAAAAAAATTAGATTAATGAGTGTTGAATTGAGAATTAAAAAAATAAATAGATTTACCTTATTGGCTGAAAATATTTAAAATTTTAAATTATCGTACGCTAATTGGCTAATATTAATTTAAAAATTTTTGAATCGGAAAATATTTGTTTTATTCAATATAGGTTGCATAAGAAAGGTTTTCGAATCAGTTTTAAGTAGTTTCTTTCAGGGGATTGCCCTCGATAATTCGTGTTGTGGAAATATTCTTTGATTAACACTGATTGACACAGAAACGTCTCGTTTATAATAACCTTATTCTTTAATATTGGCCTGATTTATCATTTTCACTTATGAATTTCAAAGTTTTATTTTTTAATTTGTCCTCTTTCGACGAATCTTCCTCATGCGTATCGCTAATAATTTCTTCGAATATTCTTAAANTTTCTTTTAAAATATTCACGAATGGCCTGGAACTGAAATGATTAGCTATTATATTAATTATATAATAAAATATTTGTTAATTTTATATTTTATTAATTGATTTTATCGATATTTTAGCAATAATAATGACAAAACATAAAGTTGGACAATGTAAAACTGGTGTGTGACGCAAACGACGTCAGACCAGAATAAATACCTTCATAAGAACCATTTGTAACCGGTGTTCGGGTAGCCGTGATCGTCTAGTGGTTAGGACATTGCGTTGTGGCCGCAATAACCCAGGTTCGAATCCTGGTCACGGCACTTGAATTTTTTTTTCTTTCTTATTCCCTTCAATTTTCTATTTAATTAATAATTTTTAATTTTATGTCATTTTCTAATTCTTACATTTTTTTTAGGTATTTATTTTATCTGTAAAAAACGCTTATAAAAATATTTTATTTACTTATTTCTAAATAAATTATTAATTTATTTACTTTTAATTAATTTATTAAGTTATTAATATCAGATATGAAAATAATTAACAATAATTATGTATTTTTTAATATTAAACTAATTATAGAAAAAATTTGTGTCGCCATCTGTCGAGTATAGATGATATAAATGAATATTTTCAATTCGTAAAAATGTGAATTTAGTACATGGTTCTGTTATAATTTACTACAGAATTCATTATATTAAAAAAACATATTGATGTATTGTATTAAAGAAAATATTTAATTAAATAACCAGTTAATTATAGAAAAAATTGAAAAAAATGGTGAATTAATGTATCTGGATATTCTAAATATTCGTTAAATGATAATCCAAATTTAATAGCAAATTAAATAATAAAATATCCACGACAGCACTAATGATCGTCACAGCAGAAAATAAGAACTGGAAAATGCAACTGAAAAATCCAGTAACGAGTTGTATAACTTTCCTCTCACAGACATTGCTTGTGGCGCCATCTGTTATTAAAAGTTATTAAGTTATCTGTTATTAAATCTTTTAAAATAAAACATATTATTAATTATTATAAAATGGTAAAAAAAAACTTAATTTTGAGGGTAAAGATAAGTTTTATATAAATAAAAAAAAAACATTATAAATGATAATAACGAGTAAAATCTTCATGTAGTCAACCCTATACACATGACTTCTTTTATCTTCCCACCTTGTCGACCTTTAAATAACAAATTTTAACAGTATCGATCCCCCTAATAAACAAACCTCCCTGCAAAATTTCAGAAATTTTCGACAAAAGGCACAGGAGTTATTAATCTTCAAAATCGTGCTCTCCCCTACAAACATCCATACATACAGGGGAAAAAGACCCCACGTTTTTCTGCATTTCTCGACGTTTCAACGTCCCTTGAGTCCAAAAATGTAAAAATCTTGGTGGTCATTTTTGACCTATCGCTATACTTCCTCCCCCCTGTTATATATAAAAAGCCGGGAGACTAATTATGGGATGGAAAGACAGAAGTTTACCATCAAGATCGATCTGCATAAATATTTGGGGAACTGGTCAATGACAATGAGTACGAAAAATTTCTCATTGTTGAATTTTCAGTGAATCTACAAAATAAGGTACTTTGTTTACTTTTAATGTTTGTAGTTGGATATAAAATAAAAATTCGTTGGAGGTGACCGATTTTCTACAAAAATATTGGGGGATGTCCCCTCTGTCTAGGGGCTGATTTACGTAAGGACTAATAGGGCTTAAACCCTGGGCCCCCAAGTGTCAAGGACCCACAAAAGTTGAATTATTATTATAAATTTTTAGTACTTTTTCATTAACAATGAGCACTTATCGTATAGTAAAAAATAGTTAATATTAATAATATAATAATAACGATAATCTATACTATTATTTTGTTTTATTGTAATCAATGTAAGGTATCTAGTATCAATGGGGTCAGTAATTACTCAATGTAAATATTTCTTTTTTTATGCTTTTTTTAAATATATTAATAAGATATAAAGTTTTTCATTCAACACCATTTTATAAATAAATATATTTCAACTCTGATTTTGATGCTATTAAAAATGAATTTTAAACCCTAATTTAAAGATTCTTAATGTAACAAAAAACGGATCCCCATTGGACTTCAATATGCCCTAAGCCCCGAAAAACCTAGATACGCCCCAGCCTCTGTCCCATGTGAAACGACTTCCATGAAATCCAGAAAATCAGATCAACAAAAGGAATTAAATTACAAACATTTCTAAAGTACAGGTGTATGACACTATATTCTGTTTAACAATAGAAAAGAAACACCTTATAAGGTATTTCTTTTGCTATGGGATTGCAAAGTTCAAATCACTGGATAGGACACCCAAATACTCGTCCAATCACTGTGTAGAAAACGTAACCTAAAGATTTATTTTACGTTGTCACCTGCTTGAAAGTTGTTCAATAATATTTCAAAATATTATTAAAATTATTATAAAATGGATTTTAATAGTATTAACTTAAATAAAGCATAGGGTATTAACTAGAAGGAAGGAAGCATTGAAGAATTGGAGATAAGTAAAGAATATGATAGAAGAAGAATACTGGATCGAATGGGGACTACTGACTTACTCTGTTATTAACAAAAGAATAAGACCAAGAAGCCTCCCTATAATGCGTTAAGAGGATTACTTTAAATTATATGGCCGAAAGGGAAAGGATATCCTGATACTCTGTTGATAATAATGCAATTTTATGTATGCGTACATGTATACATTACATTAAAAAAACAAATACATTATACGGAACATATAGCTGTATGTACAGTACAGTATACGTATAAAATGTATATGCAATTCTCTATATAGCGGATGATCGTGATTAAAGTACAGTAGAGCGTCGTTTATCCGAATCAATTGGGACTGGGGTTGTTCGGATAACTTATTTTTCGGATAACCGATTATGTACGAAAAATATATTAACCTATCCCGTGTTGAAATTTTTCTCCGTTGCGTGTCGCTACTCGTTGAATTTTCGTCAATGTTAAGCCTAACGTAAACTTTTTAAAATAATAATCGTGGCTATTATATCGTTAAAAATGATTTCTTTATGTTTTACAAACGAAATAAATACATTGAAAAATATAAAAACAAATAAAAATTATACTTTAGGCCGACTGGAATTCTTTCGGATAACCGACATTTCGGAAAACCGACTTACGGATAAACGACGCTCTAATGTATATTCAACGCTGTCTAGAGAGAGATTTGGTAATCAAAATGAAATGTCCCTATACTTAATTTGGTTGCAAGACATGAGAAAGGCATTTCGTAAAAAGTTCGCTTTATGGCACTTTTTGGTGCTGCGAGCAACGAAAAAGCAGTTTCGTTTGCGAGGAATCTGGAAACATTTAAAAGATGTGGTTTAGCGGGAACGTGTTGCAAATTTGGCAGCTCTGAATGAGAGTATCACATTGCATATGAGAAGCTGCACAGAGATCACTTATGGTCGTCTGTCGAACGGGTTTTAATTGCCTTAAGATTTTACACTTTCAGAATAAGGACTCCGTAGAACGATCGCCTTCTTTAAACAAAATATGCTTGCAGCGCCAAAATGGAGCGTTTTAGTACTAATTTTTTACAAAAATGTCTTTCACGTGTGCTAAAATGCTACTGCCACAAATTTGGCTGCATTTGGACTGCTAAATATCTCTCCGTACAGCGTCGAATATTTCAGGAATACTTTAATTACGATCACCCGATATAATCGAACTGTAAAAAATATATACAGTATTTATTATAAATGTACTCAACACGAGTGCTTTACATGAGCAATTGATGGTGTGATGAAGTTAAAAATTTTCAGAGATATTTGAATTGTATCTTCATTTTAAATGCCATAAAATTATCTAAAATTCTAAACTACCGTATCTTACATTCATAGTACGCTGCGAGTGTCGAATTTAAGTGTGTGAAAATGCATATAGTAAAGCTTATTATTGTTTTATACCGGGTGGTATGAAGACCTTCCACGTAGCAGCTATTTGTAAGTAAACTCTGCTGTCAAAGGACTTCCGGATCATCCGGTATTATAATGGACCTCTACTTTCATATCTGTTCGTGTAATGTATTATCAAAGCATTTAATTTCAAGAAACAAATTCATTCTATAATTTACTTTTTTTAATGTTATAGTTTATGGTAAAAAATCCAGCAACGAGTTGCGTAATTTCCCGGCTAAAAAGTTAAAATTGTGGTGACACCATCTGTATTTAAAAACTTTTTATATTATTAATCATTATAAAATGGCATAATCTTAATTTTGAGAGTAGAGATGAGTTTTATAAAAAAAAAAAAAAAAATTGCAAATCATAATAACGAGTAAAATCTTCATTAAATCTAACCTCACTCGAGATTAAGACCCCTCCACCCCTCGGCCTTTTACCACCAAAATGTAATAGCATCGATTCTCCTAATACAAAAACCTCCCTATAAAATTTCAGAAAATTTCGACAAAATTTACAGGAATTATTAACCTTCAAAGTGAGTGAATAAAGTTGAGTCCCCCACACACGCACACACATACAATAACTAACATCCATACATACAGAAAGATGTACCCTGAATGTACCCTGAATCCAAACATGTAATAATATCGGGGGATTTTTTTTAAATAGATCGCCATATTTTCTTCCTGTTACATATAACAACCGGGGAAGTAAAAAAAAAAAGGAAATGGTTCTACTCATCATCATTGTATCCATGTGCAAGTGGTTTTCCACCATGGCCCTTCATCCAACTCATTGGCATTCAGAATATTGTATAAGCATGGTTATTTCCTATCAAGAAATGAATTTCATATATGATGCATTATTTAAGGATACATTTTACATTTTATTAAAATCCAAAACAATTTACATACAGGAAATCCCTTTATTACCTCACTATCCAACAACAATAGAAAATTCTTTTTAAATTTAGACGAATCGTGTGCACAATCAATGCAATTTTATGATGCACAAGGTGTATTTATACAGTAAATATGCTTTTTTTTCGATTTTTCTAATACCATTTTTACTGCGTTAAAGATCCTTAAATAACTATCTTTAATTTACTTTGGAGCATCTTTCATATTGCTTCGGGGCGTATAGAAATTACGTTACGATCTGATAAAGGTTAAACAGAACGTAAAGAGCTTAGATAACTCGAAAGGAAACGAAGTTATTTTCAACTTAAAATTTAAAAATAACATCGTTAGCGCTAAATATGGCATTAAATTCTTGTACTGCACTTTTAAAATGCATATAAGATTTAATAAGAAGCGATTATATTTAATTTTTATACAGTTTTACCTATTTCTTATTCATCACAAACTTTTCACTTAAATCTATCTAGAAGCGCTAACACAAATTCCACATTCCTTTATAATTAAAGAAAAATTGGTAAAAATCTATAACACAGAGGGAAATTAAGAATTCAAATCGCGATATTTTTTAAAAAAACAAAAAAAAATCCCTCAAAAACACACAAAAAGTCAGAACTAGAAAAGGGGGAAAAAATATCTGAAAGGGGACAAAAAAAAAAAATGTCGAACTCACCAACCAATAACGTTAAGCGCGCGAGATGACGTTAAGCCACGCGACCAAGTGACGCCGATATTTTCTCTCGACGTCATCTCCGTTCGACCAATAACGACTACAATAACCACCGACGTCACGTTATGGTGATGGCGGCTGGGAGAAGTCTCGTAGAGGAGTTTTGTGTTTTGATCATAACATAAAGAAGAATTTAATACGAGCCATATGACGGGTGACAGCATGAAACAAGCAATGGTTACTACAGAAAAGAGGTGCCAGACGAGCTGCAGACGTAAATTAAACAGGAACGTTAACGGTAGCTCGGACGATCGCAGTGACGACGACGAAGAGAATTTATCATCTTATCATCATCCGGGATGCGCTAAGACGTCGACGGATGCTAACTTTACGTCGGAATTATCATCTCCTTTAGAGACCGATCACATTTACGCGGTCGACGTTAAGAAAGAAGAGAACGAACACTCGGAAAGGCTGAAAGAGATGATGTTACTACAATTAGATCTAATACAGCATCAACAGGAACAAATACTAAAGAAAGACAAGCAATTACTTTCGCTTAAACAAGAGAAAGAGTCGGTAAGTCCTTATAAAATTCCATTAAAACCCCCGTTCTAGGCCTAACGTCGGGCGTTGACACGGGATTTAAAACGTTCCCTCCACCTTATAACACGCCCCCGATTTACGAATCGATCGTTAAACACGTTCCCTACGAAATTTAACAGCCGTCGATTCTCTAAACACACGAAATTGACATTGTTATAACGCGCTTTAAATTGTTTTTGTTTGAATTTTGGCATTTAAGATGGTGGGCGGAAGTGTGCTCACCCAGCGCCATCTGACGGGCGGTCGAGCGCTTCCGGTGGTGAAAGTTGTGTGTGTCAGATGATAGTGTTTTTCGTGTGTTGTGTTTTCTTTTTTTATTTTCTATTTTTATTTCTTAAATGATGTCTCCCGTGGAGAATTGTCGGTTTTATGGATTGGATTGCGTAATTATTGATAAAATGTGGAGTTATGGAAGCGAGATGCCGTTTCGCTTACTACTGATTCGGTTTGTAAACGTTTCTCCCTATGAACCGTGTTGTGTTTTGGTCTGAAATTGGTCGATAAAATAGGTTTATCATCTCTGTATTTGTTTATTTAGCAAGATTGTGGCTTAATTTATCTATAAAACACGAATATTTTCAAGAATATCACTCATAAAACTTAAAAAAATATACTCATTATATATACTTGTACTCATCACAATTGGATGCCAATTAAGCAATTAAAAAAAAATCAATTTTTTTTTGTTGAATTATTGATAAAAACCAGTGCAGTTATTCAATGATAAGCATATTATCTCTCTATAAGCCTACATATATATAACAGAATATTTCATCTAGTGCATGTTTTATGTGCATAAACAATAGACTTTATGCATGCATAAATGCTAGTTATGTCATTAAACTGTTATATATATATATATATATATATATTTTTTTTTTAATTTAAAGCGTATAAATATCAGGATGGGATTTTCAGATATGTTTTAACATTAATTTATATAATTTAATTGTTTAAAATTAAAAATCTAGCTGTATAAAGGTATACACAGATTCAGTGAATCAATTTACTCGATTATTATCAAAATCTATACATTCGTTTACTTCAGAATGCGGTAATTTTTGCATAACCATGTTTACGCTAATAAAATTTTGCTTAGGTACGTTGTTTCTTTGAGAAAAAAATATATAAATTTAATTAAGAACGTGTCCTTATGAATTTAGGTACTTAATTTATGTATTTTATCAATAAAATATACGTTCATAAGATGTTTTTGATAAAATTTTTTTGATAAATTGAATAATGTTCTGTTATATTTATAATCAGAAGCTGTTACTTAATTATAAGTAATTTAAAAATATATTTTGCTTAATTATTGATAAAAATTTATGCATTTATTTAACGATAAGCGTTTTATCTCTCTATAAACTTGCATAAACATCCGAATATTTTATTCGGTATTTGTTTTTATAACAGATTTTTATATATGCATAAATTAAGCCAGTAATCCTATTTATACCTTCTTACTGTTATATATTTTTTTTAATTTGATGCAAGTAAAGCAAGTAGATTATTATTAAATATCAGAATAGCCCATTATGCCCAAATAAATGTGCTTTAATTGCTTCAAATTTAAAAATACAGCTGTACAAAGGTAGAAATATATTCAATAGCTCAATTTATATGATTACAATCAAGATTTATATATGCACTTGTTTCAAATAGTCTAATATTTGCATGAACATAATTATTGCTAGTAGAATTTTGACTTGTTATAACACTATTTTAGCAAAAATATATACAAATTCGTTTAATATAAATGAGTTTTTATGAATTTAGATAACTATTTTCTTATAAAATATGTATTTCTGCAATATTTTTTTATAAATTGTACAAAGATTTACAGCAATTTTACCTAATTAAATAATGCATAAACAGTAGAATTGCTTACCCCGACATTTAATTATTTGCATTTTTTAATTATTATTTGATATATAAAAAAAACTACAGTAGCGTAAATGTATGGAGTTATTAGATTAATTTACTTATTTATTGATGTTATTGAAACATTTTTTTAGTTTCAGAATGTGTAATCTTTTCATAAATGCAGTTTTATCGACAAAATTTTGGATTGATTCGTCATTATTTTAGCAAAGATATGTAAATTACTCGTATATTTAGTTTTTGGATATTAAATTTTTCTATTTTATCCATAAAATGTTTACGTACACACAATATTTTTGTGAATGTTGTTATAAGTCATTTATTCGTATTATAACAAGAAGCTAACTAATACTAATTAAATATTTTAATTAAAAATAATGATAAAAATCAATTCAATTGTTCATTAATGATAAGCATTATCACATATCTTTTGTTATAGATGTTTTTAAACAGCTAAACATCTCATCTGATATTCGTTAATAATTTATGCTTATTTGCTTAAAATTCTAAAAGGTTTGGTAGCAAAAATGTGGAACAACATATCAGGTAGGCTGTTAGTTAAATTTCTTTCTTTCTTTCTTATCAGGAGATATATATATGTGTGTATATTTGTTTCAGAATGCATAATTGTTGTATAGATGCTGATAAAGTTTTAACTTATCACAGCATTTATTTCAGTGAAAATATATAAAGTATTTTAAATAATAATTAATATTTCTGATTTAGTTTTCGTGTCAAATTTCAGTTATACAAAGAATAAATAAAAATAATTTAGTTGTGAAATGTTAAAATGTATTAATGTTAAATAATATACAGGTATTATTTGTATAGTGTGGTTCCAAAGAATATGGGGTGCTGCTTAAGAGTTTTATAATTGTAGAATTTTTTTCTATTATTCAAAACGATTAAAAAAGTAAAATTATGATACAATGAAAGATCTTAGTTGAAGATCTGCCATTGAAAATTGCCATTTTTAAAGTTACGAGCCATTCATTTGTAACCTTAATCTATTTACTGGCAGGCCTATGAAATCAGAACAGTAAAACTGTACTGATTCTGATTCCAACTTCTATATAAACATATACTTAAACATGAGTTATAAGTCTAAAATGCAGTTTGATGATTCACAATTAATGATGAAATGATGAATCAGTGCCAACCTTTAAAATTGGATTTACTTATTGTACTTATTGAAGAAGTTATAGTAAGAAATTTAAAGATTGAGGACTCAGAGTCAGGCGTTTTTGTATCAACTGCATAGTTTTGTTTGCTATAACAGCACACAAAATTGACTTGAAAGAGTATTCAGTGCATAAATGATGGTTTCAAATGTTTCTGTACAGTAACATTTATACAATACTAGTTTGCAACTCATTGTCTTGCAGTCTTAGCAAATAGTCAAAAGAATCTCAAATACGTAGAAGAAATTACAGAAATGTATACCAGCATTATTCCATATATCTTTAGTTTCACTTAAAACTAAAGTGTCTCTTTAAATTTACAATGTATATATAATTATTACATAAAAATTCTAATTTTTAATGGTTATTTCTTCAAAAATAATGTTGTTGTGGTGTTGGTTGAATGGAATTTTACTTTGTTTATATCCCAGTGCTTAATGCTAAACAAGACCAAGGTCAAGGCATAGTTACAGAAAAAAAAAATGTTGTTCTGTTTATATGCTGTTTATAAAAAAATACAATAAAAAATTAATAATAATTCTTGGTTTTCAGTTAGAAGTCATCAGTAATTTAAAACTTATATATAAAAATATAAAGTTTAATCTAGAATTTATGGAATATTCTTTTAATTTGCTTTATATATGAAGTAAATTTTACAGAAAATTATATAAATTTACAAATTATAATTCTAATAAATTTTATATCAGAATTTATTGATTCAGTGATATTATTAATGAAATATTGCACAGTAGAGCCTCGAAAACTCGCCCTAATGTGGACCGAAGGGTGGCCGAGTTTGTGAAAATGCCAGGTTATCGGGAATGGGGTTAAAAAAACTAAGTATGAGTGTTTTCTCAGAAAATACTGTACTGTATTTGTATGTATTGTTTACTTGAGAATACAACAGAGAATAAACTGCCCAAATACCCTTAAACAAAGGAAAAGTACGACCTTTATGAAGGCATAGAGCCTTTACTACATGAAAATGAAAATTAATGAATACACTGTGTACAGTAATTTACCTGATAAGACAGACCCCAGAAAAATACTTTATGAGGCATAAAGCTGTCTATAATGAAAATTAATAAACTATGGATTTTTTTGCCCTGGCCAGGGTGTGGCCGAGTTATCCGGAGTGCCGAGTTTTCGAGGCTCTACTGTATTAACAATGTAGGAATTGTAGGAATGTCTAAGTAAACAAATTCCTACAATAGGCCCTGTTCAAATCAGTTGCCTAAACTATCCTGGTAACACTCCCGATTTTAATGAAATTGAAAATGCTGGCATATTGTAGGCCTGAAAATTGCAGATATAAACAACAACTTCATAAGAATATTAAAAGAATTTGGTGTAGAATACATTAAGATATTCATCCACTATATGTCAGAGTGCTGCAAAGCTATTGTTAAGGCGCAAAGCCCTACAGAATATTGAGAATTGTTCAACAAGAAATAACTGTTCATGTTATGTTTTTCAGACCTATTTATGATGTGAAATTTTCTTTTCTGTTTCCATGATTGTGAATGGCAAGCTATTGTAACAATGCTCATTAATTAAAAGTACTAGTGAGGCCATGATCTGAAATACTGATTGCATTCTGTAGTTTGACATCTCACTAATAGTGCTGGTCAACATGAAGCAATATGACTGGTTTGCAAAATTGCTCAGTTAGTTTCGAATGTTGTAATTGATCCACATTAAAGGTTTTGCTATTTTAATCATTAATTTCAATTATTAAAGTTAAGAATATATTCAACCCTGAAATATTATACCTTTTAAGCAACCTGGTAACTAGAAAGAGATTAGAGGAAACCTTTATTAGTAATTTCTTTGCCTACAGATTTGAAGTTCTCAGACTTACGTTCAATTTATTCAACTTAAATGTTATATTCATTATATATAATAATT